CGATAAAATGAAAATTAAAAATCTTAAATATTTACAGATGTTCTCTCATACCAATAATAGTGGTTAAAATTAATAATTAATCAATAATGCAATTGATACATACAATCTTCAAGATCAACTTCCTCTGAAAGATTCATGCTAGAGGTAATGGTAGAGAAAATTAAGCGTTTCTGACGACGATCTGGGGTGGGAAATTCTATTTTTCGATCAAGACGACCAGGTCTAAGCAATGCTGGATCCAAAGTATCTGCTCGATTTGTAGCCATGATAACCTATAAATGAAATCATGTATTATATTCGGTTATATAGCTATGATGAATAAATAAATATATACCTTCACGTTTGATGTTTGATCGAACCCATCCATTTGATTCAATAATTCCAATAAAATTCTCTGTACTTCACGATCCGCTCCTGTTTGTGCATCAAATCTCTTCGTGGCAATTGCATCTATCTCATCGATAAAGATGATAGCCGGTGAATTTTCACGAGCCAATCGAAACACGTCTCTCACCATACGTGGTCCCTCTCCTAAGTATTTTTGAACAAATTCTGATCCTACTACGCGGATGAAAGACGCGGTTGTGTGATGTGCAACTGCTTTAACAAGCATTGTTTTGCCAGTTCCCGGAGGTCCATACAGCAAGACACCACGTGGAGGATCAATTCCAATTTGTTTGTATAAATCGAAATGTGTTAACGGTAATTCTACTGCTTCTCGAATTTCTTGTTTTTGAATATCTAGTCCCCCCACATCTGCGTATGTTACATCTGGCTTTTCGTCTGTTCCAAGCATAGCGATGCTACTATCTGCTTCGGGAGGTAATACATCAACTAATGAGTTGGAATGACGATGAAGTGCAACGGAGGATGATGGCTTAAGTAATTCTCGGTCAATGGTGCTTAGAATTCGAACCACATAATTTGATCCGGTAGTAGATCCCACAATTCCAGTGTGCTGATCAATAGGTTCCAAAAATTGTCCGATTACCAAAGGTACAGACTGAATTCGTTTGACTTCCTCTTGAGCCCTGATCAATTCACGTTTCAAGTTTTTTTGCTCGTCCTTTATATATTCTTCCTGCAATTCAAGAAATTCAAGGTGTCGTTGGAGTTTTTTAAGTTTCGTGTATAGGTCCCCTTCGCTTAATTCTTGAAGTAATTCGTTCTTCTCTTCGGCAACGGACTCCTAGCACAAATTGTAATTTGAACGAATTGATCAAATTCTGTCTACTGCTTGCGCGCTCTCGGACAAACAAGTAGTATTGCTATATGAAGTACTAATTTAATGAACCC